ACCGTTTAACAAAACTTAAATTATAGAGCAAGAACTACCATAAAGTCAAGGTGGGAATGGTATACATACATCGTTTTGGTTTGATAATTGGTCTCCTCCAGACCGGTTGTTCGAAATAACGGGACCAAGGGGTTTCATTGATATGGGGATATCTCGATTTGCAACTATGGAGGAGGTCTTCAAAAACCACAGACGGCGTGGACATCGAGTGAAAATATTAAAATCCATCGAGGACGTGATAGAAGTCTTCGGATACCACGTATAAGCAACGGTTCATTACTCAAAATACAAGGGAGTTGTTGCGGATTACTAAGCCAATGGTGACATGGTACAAAGGTATATGGTTTCGACATCATATGTCCAAGTTCTCGTTTTTGTCATGGCTTACTCTCCACAATAGATTATCGACCGGAGATCATATGCGAAGTTGGGACTTGGAAAATATTGTGGATTGTTGCCTCTGCCGGAATGTCGAGGAAACACGTAATCACAGGTTTTTTTGATGTAGTTTCTCTGGAGAAATTTGGAAGCAAGTAATGTCGATACTTCTCGACTCTGAGTATACGGCTGGTTGGAATCAAGTTGTTTCTCTGCTCACTTCCGATCGAGACAAGGCGGCTAAGTTTTTCCTTCGTTATGCATTCCAATCAACAGTATATCATATATGCCGCGAGCGTAATCAACGACGCCATGGAGAGCCTGCACAAACTACAACATCTATAGTCAAAGTGATTAATAAGCATGTCGTAAATCGAATCAACTCCATTCGAGCCACTGGTGACCGCGCTTTCGATGGAGTAATGGACCTGTGGCTAAGGACCCGACCGTAGGATATGCTAATCCTGCACTCTCAACTTCCCTCAATAGATTAAGCTTCAAAGTCATTTATTAAAAGTTTATCGGGTTTTGCTTACGGTTCTAAAAACATTATGCATTTATTGTAAAAACGTTTGATTTGAATACAATTTTACATTCAATTTAAACAAACAAAAAAATTACAGAGAATAATTGGCATTTTCATAAAAAATTTACCTTGTGTCACAAATTCACAATCATAACCACTAAATTTAAGTTAATTGGTTACTTATTCAATTAATAATTTTTTCTGGTTATTAGACAAATTAATCCTAAAAACATTAGAATCTTCATATATTGACACTTTTTTTTTATGTGATGAGAAGCTGACCTCTTAT